CAATGGCCGGCAAGCGACTGCCTCACCCGGGAAGAGCACAATGATAATACCAACATGGGCCAGTGAAGCGACGTCCTCCACAACTAGACTGAAGAACAAAACGACAGCAGCTTTTCTGTCCCCTTCCCCCGATTCCCCAGTGCTGTTCCCATCCCCCCAATTCTCCAATAAAATCTTAAAAAAAGAAAAAGTCAGGAGTGACTCAGTGTAATCACCTGGTTCCTTGAATATAAATAAATAGTCATTCTCGGATATGATTTCACTTAGGAAGACATTTCTGTAGTTCATCCTTAAATAGTTTAGCATTTTGTTTTGGTAACAGATTCCGGTGCGTCTATCGTATTGATCTTTAAAAAAAACAAAACAAAACAGCTTCTGGTTTTCTTGATTTTTTTTTTCTGTATTGATTTTCTGTTTTCAATATCATTGATTTCTACTGTCATTTTTGTTTTATGTCTCTTCTTTTGTTTGCTTTAGATTCGTTCATCTAAAAATGAAAAGCCAAAGTGCGAGGTGACAGGCGTTTATTTGAGGTCCATGAGAATAGCTACTCGGGAAGCCCTGATTCAGGCAGAAACCCAGACAGTGTTCCGATGAGGCCACAAAGGCCAGGGGTGTTTATGACAAAGGGAAGGGTGACAGTGACATCACAGAAGGAAGGCGTTGCTATTGGTGCAGATACTGTAACATAGTGACGCTGATTCTAAACAGTGTTTTTAGTTTTCAGCCCAGAGTCATCCGTCCTGGAGTCATGGCACCTGTTTTCTTGTTGCCTCTGCAAACAGCTCTTTGGGACACAGTGTTGCTTAGACCCCGTCCTAAGGTGACTGTGTCCTGTTTTAGCATCAACAGGTTGGAGGCGTCAGACGGGCCAGGCCGGTCCTCGGGGACGGCATTTCTGGGTCCCTTTTAAAGGGGCTCCGTGTCTGTTATTGTTTACAGGATTGTTAGTCTTCTTTCTGTAGTTTCCTGAAGTGTTTTATGTTGATCACAATTCTGGGCTGTGACTCGGAGCGTCGCAGGGAGCCAGGGAAGACGTGGCACCGGAACCCAGGGAAACCCCCAGGAAGATGCCGTGTTTCCCCCGTTCAGACCGTCGTCAGGACAGCCCAGTGGCGTGCCTGGGTCTCCAGGACTCGGCCGTGTCCGGTGGCTTGTGTCCAGTGCCTGTCCTTATGAAGCCGTGGTTGTTCGTGGGTGTAGGTGTTTCTCTCCCAGAGGGTGTTGGCTTCGCTCGGAGTTCCCCCTGCACGTAGTGAACCCCCCCAACTCCTTCCCCACCAAACAAGCCTCAGTAATAAGCATGGAGAAAACAAGTGTGGGGGGGTCCCCGGCTCCAGCAGTGTGTCCGTAACTGTGATGCGTTTCAGGACAGCAGCTGGCAGTCCTGGGCACTTGTCTTCCTGTCAAAGAAACAGCAAAACAGCGGTGCCATCGAAGCCTCCCGTGTGGATGGCGTGGGGACGCTGTTTGCGTGAGCGCCCACATCGAACATGGGATGTCATCGGCTTAGCCATCGTGGGGGCACATGGGTGGGGGGGGNCCCCGGAGAGCCCGGGGGGGACCCCCGACGGGGCGCCCGCCTACCGCCTGCAGGACTTCGACACGCTGGCCACCGTGGGTGAGTGCCACGCGCGGGGACCCGGCGCGTGGGGGCGCCCGGGACGCCGGCGACAGACAAAGGGCCCCGCGCGCCGCCGCCCGCCGCCTCCCGGGCGCACTGTGCCCGGCCCCGCCTGCTCGCCGCGGCCCCCCAGGCGCCCCGAGAGTTGGGGGGACCCCCCCAAGCCCCCGCGAGCCTCCCAACCTGCCCGCGCCCTGCCCGCGCCTCCAAAAGCGCCTTATGGAGACCTCCTGCCCCTAAAGCGCCCCCGTGTGTGGGGCCCCCCCGACGTCACACAACTTCCCGGAGGTCCCCTCCTCTTGCCAGGCAGGGACCCCCAAGGCCCCGAGGGCGCTTGCTCAGCGCGCCTGGCTCAGCGCCCCCTCTGCCCTGCGGAGGGAGACTTCCGCATGGACTTGAGATCTAAGCGGGGCCTGCGGGACAGGTGTCCCGTGGAGTTGGGGGGCGTTGGGGGGGTGGGGGCGGCACTGCAGATGGAGAGACGTTTCCTGACGCCGCGCGCGCTTTCCGTCCGGGGCATCGCACACTTGGCGGTGCCCGCGCCCCACGCTTCTCTGCCTTTGTCCTCCGCCTGTGAACTTGACCCGAGGCGGGGCGCTGGGCGTGTGGGTTTCCCGGTCCCTGCGCGGCGGGATCTCTGAAAACGCGGGTGTCTGGGACGCCCCCCCGCCCCCCCGCGTGGGTCAACGCAGCCCAACGTCCGCTGGGTGCCGGCTTCCAGCTGTGGGCACAAGCCAGCTGTGGCTTCTTGGCAACCCTTTGTTGCCAAGTTGGGAGGTGGGGGGTTGTGCCCACATGTTGCTCAGGTCAGGAAGGGGAACGCGGACGGGGGCGTGCCGAGTGGGGCCGTGGGACCCTGGAGCAGGGGTGTGGAGGTCCTTTCTTGGGCTCCCCCGCCCCCGGTTTGGAAAGCGAGCAGCAGGAAAGCAGGACCCAGCGGGCTCAAGGTCATGAGGTCACTGGGGCTTGCTGACGGAGACCAAGCTGCACAGCCTTAGAGGCATGGAACCCGCGTCGGACAGGGGCCTTCTCCTGTCCTCCAGGGGCCTCCTTGCCCGGGCGTGCTTGGCTGTGAGGACGGGGTCACCTGGAAGCCTCATTGGGAAAGCAGGGTGTGGGGGGCACCCTGCCTGGCCCCCGCGTCTGCCCCTGTCTCCCTCTCAGCCCTCCGTTTCTCTTCCTCCCTCATGGCCTCTCCCTCCTCCGCTCCCCACGTCCCCTGGGAAGCGATGCTGGCTGATCTCAGCGCTGGCTGTGTTTTGCATGGCATCAGGGCGGGACAGAAACCCAGGCCAGCAGCGCAGTTCCACAGTAGGTGGAAACAGACGAACAATGGAAAGTTGGTGGAGAGCCTGCCGTCCCTTGGCACACAGCGCCAGCCATTGTATTTCTTTCGGGCACACACTCGGGCCTATTGTCAGAAGTGCGGGGGCTGGAGGCCGGGGCGGCCAGCCAGGCCCGGGCAGTGGGTGGGCTGCAGACATGACCTCGTCTGCTGCCCTGTGGGCATTGCCAAGTGGGCATAGGTGCCCAGCGACGGCTCTCGTCCTTAAAAACAATGTCACCCAGTCCCTGGGGACCAAGCCCAATGTCACCGCCCCTGGGGACCGAGTGGGCTAGGCTGGAAATGAGTTTCCTCCAAGGCCTCTTTGCTTCTGTTCATGAAGACTTTGGTTCTTCGGGAAGGATAACGTCCTGTGGCTCCTGAAGGCAGAGTCAGGGGCGCCCAAGTGCCGGGTGTTGGACAAGCAGGGGACAGGGACCCAGACGTGTGTGCGTGTGTGCCCCTCGGAAAGCTCAGTGACATTCTCTGCCTTCTTGCGCCTAAACTCCTTTCTTATTGGGGAAAGTTTCACCTGAGTGTGATTAACGTAAGAGATTAAGAATAACCCTTAGAATAAACACACACACACACACACACACACACACACACACACACACACACACACACACAGGCCTTTCTGACCTGTGACAATTGTGTCTCTTGAGACACAGTCTCTAGCAACGTCAGATCGTTTCATAAGGCACAGCGGACAAAAGTGAGGGGCCCGGCCGGGCTCTCTCCTGGCAGGTAGAACCCAGTCCAGTCAGGGGGAGCAGAAGCCCTTCATCCTAATCCTAAGCTTCCGGCTCAGGAAAATCAGTCCCCATTCCTAACCCTGCCCCCACCGCAGACAGGCACCACCCCCCTCCCGGGGCGGGGAACGGGGGTGGTGGGGGGGTGGGGGTGGCTGTAAACTGTCTGAGGGCACCCCTGTGCAGTTAGTTCTCCAGCTCTGCAAGGCCGCTTCTCCACCATGGGAAACCAACCCACACGCCACACAAACCCGAAACAAAAACTCCAGCCCTGTCTTAACCTTTCTTGACTGTCATCGTCCCCGCCCCTTGGAATCTTCTAGAATGAGTCAGGGTGGAAACACAGGGCTCAACTTGTCCTGCGCCCCGAAGGCTGTGGGGAGCCCCTGTCCCCACAGAGGTGCTCCTTTTCCTTTTGCCTGAGCACCCCTTTTCCTCATCCACGTGTTCTTGTGTTTTCTCGAGCCCGTGAACTGTACACAAGGAGGAGGGGGGAGGGGAGGGGAAGGCGTTCTTGGGACAGAATCGCTGACTCACCGTCTCTGAAACACGTTGGGATGGTGCTAACGTTTCAGGGCAGGTGGAACGCAGCCGGTGAACCCACGGGGTGGGTTTCTGCTCATTCAGCAAAGCCCGTGCGGGACCGTCTGGGGAGGGCCCGTGAGCCCAACACGTCCTGGAAACACACGGCCGAGTTCACGGGCGGCCACGACACCCTAGTGACTGAATAAGAAGGAAACCCAGGGGTCATGTCGTGTCAGATCCTGTTCTGTGCTTCTGGCAGAGACGGCTATGGGAAATGGCGGGCAGTGGAGATGGCCCACGGCTCCACAAGTCCAGCTGGGTCGCGTGAATGCTGAACGTGCCTTGGTGAAAAAATCTCATGGTGACTTTTTTTTTTTTTTTTTTAAAGAGCCCAGATGGGCCTCCGGGGCGCAGAACTGGTTTGCAACCCCATTTTCCCCCCTCTGTGTGCACAGATGATGGCGCGATTCAAAAAACACATACTTTGAAATCACTAGAGACGCCCGGGGGATTCCGGAAACCATACCTACAGTCACACAGCGCTCCTCCCGTGGGGACACCTTCTACGGCTTTTGCGCAACATCAGACCAGTCCTGGATGCCGTCCTGCTGAGCCGCTGTAGAACCTGTTTGGTGCTCCCCAATTTTTACAGGCTCCTTTGCGAGCAAGAGTCGGGGCACGGGGGGAGCCCTATGTCATTTTATGCCACCCACCCATTGGGGCGTTCACCCTCCAGCCTCCAGACCCAAAGCACAAAACTCACTCCCTCCTCACAGACGACTCGCTCATACGTGACACCTTGTATGTATTTATGTTTTTTTTTTACCATCTCACGTGACGAGATTGGAAACGTGTGTTTTCTTAACATCTGGAGGCCTTCCTTAATGAGTCATTAGTGATAGTCTGGTCCCCTCTCAAGCACGTGTAATCGGTTTCCTGTCCCTCTACACTGAGAGGATTTTCTCCTTGCGTCTGGGTTCCCTTCCTTCGGCCCTCACTTCACTCCCTGTGTCCTGGGCTGTCATTTGTCCTGGTCACCCCAGCACCCCTGAGCACAGCTCCCGAGTGGAACCGGGGTCGCGGGGATCGGTCGTCGGAATGGGCGGGGGAGCTGACAAGCCACGGGATTGTTTCATGCTGAACAGTACACAGAAAATCATGTTCACCTTTCACGCTCTTCATCCGGCCTCGGAGCTTCAGCGTATGTTGGCAGACGCACGTGGGCGGCTCTTAACTGTCACAAGGATGTCAAAATGAGATAAGATACTAGAAATCTAGAGCATTTCCAAGTGCAGAACTCTTGCAGGCTGGCCCTGGTTTTTTTGTTGGTTTTATTTGAGGTGACATTCACATGCTGTAGAAGGAACCGTTTAAAGCGCACTAGCCAGTGGCTTGATGTGCATCCGCAGAGGTGTGCAACCATCCTCTCTGTGTAGTTCCAGAATAGTCCACCATCCCGAAGAGGACGCCGTCCCCAGGAACCGTCACTCTGCCTTCCTCTCCCCAGACGTTGGCGACCACCAAAAACCGTATGCGTTTGCCTGTTCTCTGCTCTGCATTACTCAAATTCTTCTTTTCTCTCTCTCACGGTCCATCTCTAGGAGGCGGAAGGGCCCATCGGAAGGGAAGGCGAGGTGATGGACAGCCACACACCACGGGTAGACATGGGCAGTCAGAGTGAGAGAGCCAGTGACGGTCACACAGGTGACAGATACGTCCACGTAACACCTGCTCTCCAGGAGCTGGACGGGGCAGGAGGGACCGTCCCCTGGGGGCTCCGGAGGCAGCGTGGCCCTGGGACACCGTGGTGGCAGCCTGCTGGCCTCCAGGGCTCCAGTTTGCAGTGGGAGAGCCCTGCATTCATTTCTGAGGACGAGGCATCTATAAGTCACTGCGTGAGGAGGGCCATCTCCGGGGCCGGGTGGAGCGGAGCCAAGGGCTCGTTTTGCACACTTGTCCCACTGCTCCTTTGCGCCTCCCTCCTCCCCACAGAGGGCAGCAGGGCGAGGCCCCCGCAGGCTGCCCACGCCCTCTCACGCCTCACTTCCGTAAATCCAGAGCAAGAGCCCACGTCCCACATGGCCCGGCCCACGGGCATCATTTTGCGTGGTCCCCCTCCTTGGCGTGTAGGTTCCTCGGAGCTGCTAGAACAGACCGCCACCCACCGGGTGTCTTATGAACAGCACAGATCCACTTTGTCACCATTCTGGAGGCTGGAAGCCCCAGTTCAGATCAGGGAGCCGTGATGGTTAGGCACTTGGGGGGGATCTCTTGTGGGTTGCACGTGGCTGCTTTCTCACCGTGTTCTCACGTGATGGGGGAGGGCAGAAGGGAGGCAGGTTTTCTCGTGACTCATAAAGACCCCAATCTCACCCACCACGGGGATCCCCCCCCCT